CATTTTTAGAAGACGAAAACATTTTTTAGAATTTTTTTTCTTGCGCACAGGGGTGTAAATCTCCTCAGGACCCCTTAGCATTTAAGGGTTAAACTAACGAAACAGAGGTGCCGGAGAAATATAAGAAAATTCATTTTTGTAAACAGAGTGGTAGACGGTTGGAACAAGTTAGGTGAGGTGGTGGTGGAGGCAAAACCGTCAGTAATTTCAAAGCGTTGTATGACAAAGAATGCCCTACATGGGGGGGGGGGGAGGGGCAGTACTAATGCGCGGGGGGCTAGTTGCATGGAGTTTTGCTTGTTTTTTTCCAGGGGAGTTATTTTGATCTTTTAGGATGTATATTGCGCAGGTTAACCAGACAGTGATCTGTTTTGATTTGTGTACCTTTCTGGGTCCTTTCCCAGTCGATGGCAATTATGACATACTTTAGATGTAAAGTGCTCATAGATCATTGCTCCCAGTGCCTCTCTGAGGGGGGCCAGGTTCTGGCTCATGTTTGTTGTTTTAGATTCAGCTACTCGGAACAAAAGTTCCAATCAGCATGGGCTATGGCTCGCTCATAGTACCTGGAAGGCATAAGGACTCCTGTGACTGATGACCTCAAACTAATGTAGCACATGTCAGTTTGGTTAGCTCAAGGAAACCTTCGGGGTTTACATAGAAAGTGGCGTTTCATTACATTCAATGCTGGTTTTCTGTGGGGAAGCCCTACGGCTCCCTGGAGCTTATCGGGCTAATGTATGTTATATTAGACCGGGACATTAGCTATGGAGTTCAGACCTACCAGGGACCAGTGCCAGAACCTGGCCCCTTCAGAGAGGTTTCAGGGAGCATTGGCCCTGGAAAACCCCCCTTGTGGTTTGGGGTTTTCCTTATTTGCCATCAACTGGGGTCAGGCACCCAGAAAGATAGGCATAACAAAACAAACCCCACATGGTAAGAAACTAAAACAAAAAAACGAACAGAGAGGTAGAAACTCCCTACAATCCCAAAGAAACAAGCAAACATCACACTTTACTGCCGCGCCGATTGTCTGCACAGCCCTCCCCGCTCCGAGAGGGGGAGGGAGGGGGAGCCTCGGACCTCACCGCGCCAGCTACCTAGCATCAGTTCATAAGCTAATGTCATCTGGAACAGACACTTCTCTGGCCTCAGTTTCCTAGGCGGTGTTTGCCTACGTGGCGTTCACTGCCGTGTGTTGTGTTGTGCGGTGGCCAGGTGCTCCTCATCAGTACCGGGGCTGCATGCGCTTAGGGCCTTCCTTACCTAAGTGCCCTGTGAGTACTGCCCCTGCGTGACAGGGTTATCTTCCCTGGGGCGTTCGGGAACCATTCCCGTAGAGGTTCTTGCTACTCGGCTTTTGCCTCGCCCTTGGGGCCAGCTGGGGCTTGGGGCCCTTGTTTGGCCTTGGGTAGGGAATGTTGTTGTGCTGGTTAGGGCGTCAAGGTGTTGCGCGGCCGGCCACCTACGCGGCGACCGGTTCCTGTTGCCTCTGGGGACGGTATACTTTTGTGGGGTTTTCTTTTGATTTTCTTTTCTTTGCCTGGTGGGGGGTCAGCCTAGTGTGACTATAGTTCCACTGGTAGTGTTCTGCTAGGGCCCCATGAGTGTACATGTCGCAGGGGTTTTCTGTGTTGCATCTACTCCTTGTTAGCTTGGGTGTTTAACTGGTTAGCAACACCTTGCCCGGGCTTCCCATAGCAGTCAGCCTATCTTGAGGTTATCTTGAGATGATTTCGGGGCTTTAGTGTCCCCGCGGCCCGGTCCTCAACCAGGCCTCCACCCCCAGGAAGCAGCCCGTGACAGCTGACTAACACCCAGGTACCTATTTTACTACTAGGTAACAGGGGCATGGGCCCCTGAAAAACTATGAAAACTTGGGCCTCTATGGGCCCAAGAAAACCCTGTCGGGGCTCAGTGGACCATTGGATGTGTCTTCCGGGTTCCATCCCATCTTGTGCGGGTTTGTCTTCCGGCCTCTGGTGGCATCGAGCAGCTTCTCCCCCCTTTGGGGGTTCGGGGCTGGCAGGGTGGGCTTCTTTCCCTGCGCTTCGTCATGTCATCTTAGTGTGGGTGCGTTTGGACATGGTCGTTCAGCCCCATCCTTCCAAGGTTCCCATCTGTTCTAGTGCAGACATGGGCCTTGCGGTTCTTCTGGACTTATGCAGTCTGCGCCCTGGATTCTTTGCTCTCTTCGGAAGACTGTTGTCTCCGGTCCGGCTTCTGTTGGGGTCGGGTGCCTGGATGGTGTCCTCCAGGGTTTCGGGACTGGCTAGCTGGTGGTGGGGCTTCAGGCTTGCCCCTTTTGTTGCCTTCCCTAGTTTGTCATTGACACTTAGTGTATTTATGCATCTTTACCAGATCTTGGTGACCTGTCTGCGTCTGCTTGGGATTCGGTTTCTGGCCTACCTCGACGACTGGCTGGAGTGGGCTCCCAGTCGGTGCTCGCTTGTCTGCTCCTGGTGTCAGGCCACTCCATCTGGGTGACCTGGTGGGTCTTTAGGACTCTTAGACAGATTGCGACTGTGGTCTTCGAGTGGCTCGTTCTGCTGGATCCTCGTGCTGGGTCTGTTCACAGCACTAGTCTGTTTGCAGGGTTCGGGTCACTTTATGTCCGGGGTGTTCTACGTCTCTTGGCGGATGGCCTGTCTCGCATTTCATTCCTCTGTTCACGGTTTGGTTCATTCCCGGTCGTTGCCAACTCGTTTCATTGGCAATGCTGAACGTACAGACTCCAGAACATGGACTTCTTTGTGTCAGCGTGGTCTTGGCATCTCCCATTCTATGTGGCGCCCTTACCCGCCTGCGAGGCGTTCACGATGGATGCCTTCGGCAGGACTGGTCGAGGTGGAGTTACCTGTTCCTCTTCTCCCTTGTCCAGCTGCTGCTTTGGGTTCTGGCTTGGTTGGAGTCCTTCCCAAGAAGAATAGTCCTCGTGGTCTCTTGGTGGCCGGCCCAGCTTTGTTTTCAGACGCTGTTTGATAGGTGTCCAAACCCGGGGTGTTTCCCGCGGCTCCGCCTCTTTCGGCAGGTCGGACCGGTCCTGTACATGACTGGTTTGGCCTTCTCCTCGGCTCTTCACGTCTGCTCTGCTGACGCTGGTATTTCACCATCACATAGTGATCAGGTGGTTTAGTTGATGGTGTGCCACCTGCGAGCTTCATCTCGCTTCGTTTCTATTCTCCATTTTCTTGTTCTTCGTAGGTTGTCTTCTCTTTTGCATCGGGTTGTCTTGTCCTTTCTTGGGTTTTTCAGGACTGTTAAATGATGCTTCTTACTGTCGCCTTGTGTTGTGTGGCGCAAGGCGGAGCTGCTCCAGCTTGCGTTTGGGGTGGACGTCACATCCGCCCCGTTCCGTACGCTTCTTGTGTTGTTTCACCTCCGGCCAGCTCATGCGCCGCCTAAGCCGTCCTGGTCCTTGATCAGGGTGCCCTTTTATCCTTCCTCTCCTCAGTTTGTGGTTAGCCCCTTCAGTTCAAGATTGTTTTTCAATGGTCATACTTTGTTGGCATTGGCCTCTGGGTCGGGTCGGGGAGCTTCCGGCTCTCCTCCGGCACAGAGGTTTCTCCTCTTTTGGTACTGGTGGTAGGTTTGTACACTTGCAGCCTTTCTCTGTCCTTCTGGCGACAGTTGAGACGGCTGCTTTCTGGAGGGGTCCTGGGGTTTTTGATGCTTGGTTGGTTTGGCCGGTGGTGCATTGTGTTGTCCGGTTGCGGCTCTTCGCCATTACCTGTGTGCCGGGGCTTGGGATGCGCTTTGGGTTGATCCGGTTCCCTCGTTCCCTGTTCAGGGCTCGGGGTCTCCTAGGTCGTCCGCAGTTTTCTTATGTCTACCAGCCTGCGGTCTATCCTTGCGCCCGTGCCATTCAGTCGTTTGCAGATTTTGCTGCTGTGTTTGGTGACGTCTTGGGCTCATTTTGGGCGCGAGGAATTGGGGGTCACACAGGTTCCTGGCCGCCGTTCATTTGTGAGCATGTCTGCTCCTGTGCGTTCTTGTGTTGCCTTGGGTTGCAGGTTGCTGCCTGTTGTCTCGACTTCGCATTGCGGAGTTTGTGGCGGCCGCCTCCCGGGTCAGCCCTTTCTTTTTCTTCTCTTTGGGTATGAAGCTAATGGGAGCTGTATGGGCTCCCCACAGAAAACCAGCAATGAATGTAATGAAACGCCATTTCCTGGGTGAGCCCCGGAGGCTCCCTGGCAACCCTCCTTCCCACCAGTCGGCGGTTTTTCACGTTGGTTGAAGCTTAGCTTCCGAACTGCTGGTAGGCAGCTGGCACAGTCAGGTCCAGAGCTCCCCTCCCCCTCTCGGGGAGAGGAGGGCTGCTCGGAAAATCGGTGCAGCAGTAAAGTGTGATGGTTTGCTTAAATGCTTGTTTCATTGAGATTGTAGGGAGTTTCTACACCTCTGTTCAATTTTTTGTTTTAGTTTCTTACCATGTGGGGGTTTGTTTTGTTATGCCTACCTTTCTGGGTGCCTAACCCCGGTTGATGGCAGATAAGGAAAATCCCCCAACCACAAAGGGGGTTTTCTAGGGTCATTGCTCCCTGAAACCTCTCTGAAGGGGCCAGGTTCTGGTGCTGGTCCCTGGTAGGTCTGAACTCCATAGCTAATGTCCCAGTCTAATATAACATACATTAGCCTGATAAGCTCCAGGGAGCCTCTGGATCTCACCCAGAAAATGGCGTTTCATTACATTCAACGCTGGTTTTTTTACTAACCCTGTTTCTTTTGCTTCTGTATACCAATTACATAAAATTATTAGTCGTCAGCTCATTATTGCTATACTTCATAATATACAGCATCATTTAGAAAAATGTTGCTTGTTAACTATTGGGTACTTAAATGATAAGGTGTCAATAGATGATTTCTTATATTTTTTCCTCTTACATGATTCTATCTATAATCAGTTCAAGGTGTAAAAATGTATTCAGCTGTAAATAAATCAAAATAATATATGAAGATTATCATGGTGCATTAATTCCTTTAATTTGTTAATTTTTCAGTTGAAAGATCTTGTGAACAATTTCCGTAACACATTGAGTGCCAAGAACCTGGGATCGCAAGGCTCAGCTATTGCTTTTCTTCGCTTGCTGAAGAAAGTGCGAGAAAGTGACCAAGTAACTTTTGAGGCTGTACTGAAGGATAAGAAGAATTCAAAAATTTTGTAAGTTATAGAATAATAGTTAATGTATTTGTAAGTAATGTGGCTTTTCTAGGAGGGCTTGAATGTGGCCCCTGGAGCCCTCAGGGGGCCACATTACCCAGTTACCCAGCCCTATCAGGGTAACTCCACCCAATTCAATCCAAACGGGCTCTTGCAAGTCATTTAAAGCCTGCTGAGAGCCAGTGGTCAAAACCTGGCCTCCCCCCTCAGAGGCACAAAGAAGAGGGAATTACTAGATCACCTAACCATGAACAGACCAGCAGGAAAGGCAGATGAGGCAAAACATACAATTAGCAAGATAAACAAAGCATTGACAATGACACTCGCAACCCCTGAAAAAAGTAAATCAGCTAGCCGTGAAATAACTCGCTTGTTAGTACACCTGTGCACCTCCAGGGGACTGCACATGACAAATCACCAGTAACAGATGATCTGCCAAAATATTTGAAGACGGCTAATGTAGTCCCGATAAAGCAAGTCACTGCGAGGGGGGGAGGTCTTGGAGTGCTAGGCTAGGCATCATCAATGGAGTCCCACAGGGATCATTCCTTGGACCTGTACTGTTTCTGATATATGTAAATGATCTCCCAGAGGGAATACTCATTCCTCTCAATGTTTGCTGATGATGCATAAATTATGAGGAGGATTAACCCTTTAACTGCGCAACGCACCTGCAGGCCCACATCTGGGGTGCGCTAAGCGCCTCCGGGTATTTGTATTTTTCACGTTCCATTCAAAACTCCCACGGCTACATGGAGTTCTAATCAGCTTCCTCAGGGCTCTTGTAAACAGACTCCATCTTTAAAAAAAATCGTGGTCCACATTCCCGGGTGTGAGAGCCTCAGTACTGAGTGAGCAACCAAGACCGGGGCATGCAACATGAGCTCCCAGCACTGCTGTTCAGCTTGGGACCACAGCATCGCCTAATAATGTCAAAAAATATATATAACTTGTATTATTTAGCTATGATAGTATTACAGAAGAGCCTGAGTGTGATAATGACTGTGTACAATCTTCAAATATTAGTGATTGAATGCTGTTCACGATGTTCATCAGCACTAGCCACAGCACCACAGCATTATTTCGTCCATCTAGGAATCTTCAAACGACTTTTTAGGTTCCTTTACAAAATAAACTTGTGGTCAATTATGTATTTGCAGGATTTAATGACCAGTATTGTGATAACAGGATTGTGGTGATAATAAGCACTGTGCGTAGTATTTGTGGGAGGAGGAATTGTGGTGAGGGAGCGAGGGAGAGAATCGAGGTAGCCTCACAGTGTGGCAGCCACTCTTGTTTTGCTCATCATACTTGCTTAGTGGTTCGTTATGGTAAACACATTTGTACATGGGTATATACAACGTGTGTGTATATAGTGTAGTAACAGCAGCAGGAGTATGTTGGGAGGAGCTATTTTGGTGAGGGAGGTGATGTAATTGTAGCTTCGTCTGCTGGCTGCTGTGATTTCTCGTGCAGTGTAGGGTGGCCACTGTAAAGTTTGGACATAATACTAGCCTACTTGCATAATTCTGGTGAATAAAACATGTAGATAGGTATACATAACATGTGTAAATAGTGTAATCCAAACAATAACAGTATGGTGGGAGGAGCAATGTTGGCGAGTAAGATGTTGGAGGAGTGAGGGAGAGACTGGATGTTGGAGGAGTGAGGGTGTGGCATCTGACACTCGCAGAGTTCTGAGTGTGTTGATGGTGAATGTATATAGTGTGTGATAGTGTGTAAATAGACTGTATACATACATAAATTAGCATGATACAATGGAAATATGTGCCGGATATGTGTTCACATGTCATGCACGTAACACAGACATACTGTCTTCGAACAGTACGGATGTTCTACTGCCATAATATAGCATACGTGTTCATTATACATAGGATTGGGACGTAAAAGCATATAAAATGTATTTGGAACTGTGTGCAGAAAATGAACAAAAATATATTTGCGGCGACTCGCACATCCTGCCCCGAACACCCTACCGGTTGCCCAGGGGCGTACACCACGGGCAACCAGGGAATGATGACGTCATGCACGAACTTACAGACCCCATAGCAGCCAAAGTACGTACAATTTCGACCTTCTGTTACTATACCTATGCTCAGGGAAGGTATTTGACACTTTCAAAACGGAAAATAATTTTTTCCAGGTATTTTATTTCCTGCGCACTGGGAGGGTGTCATATTTGGAGCCCGTGCAGTTAACACTTTCGGGTTCCACTGACTATCTTGTCACTCATTTTTCTCCCGATTCCTCACCAACGACACAGCACTGAGTCACTCATTAAATATTTGTTAAAAATTTAAATTTTATCAGATCAATCTGGTAGTGGTTTTAAAATAAGCGCCTTTAGATTGCACACAATTTTATACCAAAATGAAAGATATAACATGAAACTTGATGTCCGAACACTTGAAAGATTATAAATAGGTTTTTGTTCAAAATATTAAGATATTTGTTAAAATTCTATTTATTGTCCTATTATCTTGGGACTAGTTTTAAAATGCGCGCCTTTAGGTCGCAAACAATTTGATACTAAAATGAAAGATGTAACACAAAAATTTGTCAGAACACTGGAAAGATATGAATAATTTTGTGATGATGAGCATCCAGAATTAAAATATTTGTTAAAATTCCAGTTATTGCTCTATTATTCTGGGACTAGTTTTAAAATACGCACCTTTTTGTTGCGAACAATTTGATACCAAAATAAGACGTAACACGAAATTTGATGTTATTAAATTGAACGAGTATATACATTAGGTTGCAGTGTACAAATTGGTGCTCGTTCATGGGTAACTTTAGGCTTTTCTGCGGGGAGGCACTCCATACTTTTGTACATTATATTCATACACATCTGTAGGGAATTTAATTGTGAACACTATGATACCAAAATGAGCAATGTAGCACGAGAATTAAGGTGAGAAAAATGGAACGAGTATGCACATGTTACTGTTTTTGTGCTCTCACGGGTAACTTTTGCCGACTTTAGGCTTTGCTGTTGGGAGTCACGCCAGGCTTTTGGGCGTTATATTTATAGACACCTGTAGGGAATTTAATTGCGAACACAATGATACTAAAACGAGCTACGTAGCACGAGAATTAAGGTGAGAAAGCTGGAACGAGTATACACATTTGGGTGTCACCGCGCACTTAACCCCATGCTCGGGCTCTGACCCGTAATTTGACCGCACGCCTGGCCGGAACGCGAAAGTGTTAAGGGGTTAAGACAGAGGAAGATGGTATGAGGCTACAGAATGACAAAGACAAACTGAAGGAATGGTCCAAGAAATGGCTACTAAAGTTCAACCCAAGTAAATGTAAGATAATGAAACTAGGCGGATGAAACAGGCCAGACACAGGATCATGAATGGAAGATGAAGTCCTTCATAAAACGGACAGAGAGAAAGATCTAGGAGTTGATATCACACCAAACCTGTCTCCTGAAGCCCACTTCAAAAGAATAACATCAACGGCATATGCGAGGCTGGCTAACAACAGAACAGCTTTCAGAAATCTGTGTAAGGAATCTTTCAGAACCTTGTATACCACATATGTAAGATCAGTCCTGGAGTATGCAGCTCCAGCATGTAGCCTGTACCTTGTCAAGCACAAGATGAAACTGGAAAAAATTCAGAGGTATGCCTCTGGGCTTGTCCTAAAACTAAGAGGCATGAGTTACGAGGAAAGGCCGAGTGTACTGCACCTCACATCGCCGGAAGACACGAGCTCAGGGAGACATGATCACCGCATACAAAATTCTCAGGGGAATTGACAGGGTAGACAAGGATGGATTATTTAGACAGGTGGTACACACACGTGTACACTCACTTTAGTGTAAAGTGTACACTAAAGTGTACATGTAAGTGTAAAGTGTACACTAAAGTGTAAGTGTACTTACACTTTATGGGGTGGTACACTCACCCCATAAAAGGCTGTTAAAAAAGTTGGAGCAACAGGCAGGAGTAAAATGGAAGGTGCTCCAGTGGATAAGGGAGTACTTAAGCAACAGGAAACAGCGAGTAATGGTGAGGAAGGAGACATCAGAGTGGCGAGATGTCACCAGCGGAGTCCCACAGGGCTCAGTACTTGGACCCATCCTGTTTCTAATATATGTAAACGATCTTCCGGAGGGTATAGACTCATTCCTCTCAATGTTTGCTGATGATGCAAAAATTATGAGAAGAATCAAGATAGACAGAGACTACAGGATGACCTGGATAAACTGGAGGAATGGTCTAGAAAATGGCTGCTAAAGTTCAACTCAGGAAAGTGTAAGGTGATGAAATTAGGCGAAGGAAGCAGGAGGCTGAACACAAGGTATCATCTGGGAGGTGAAATCCTGCAAGAGTCAAATAGAGAGAAAGATCTGGGGGTTGATATCACACCAAACCTGTCCCCAGAGGCCCACATCAAAAGAATATCATCAGCGGCATATGCTAGACTGGCCAACATAAGAACTGCCTTTAGAAACTTGTGCAAGGAATCTTTCAGAACCCTGTTTACCACTTATGTAAGACCAATCCTGGAGTATGCAGCTCCAGCCTGGAGTCCATACCTAGTTAAACACAAGACAAAGCTAGAGAAGATTCAGCGGTATGCCACCAGGCTCGTCCCGGAACTGAGAGGAATGAGCTACGAGGAAAGGCTAAAGGAGCTGAATCTCACATCCCTGGAAAACAGAAGAGTAAGGGGAGACATGATAACCACCTACAAAATTCTCAGGGGAATTGACAGGGTGGACAAAGACAAACTCTTCAGCACGGGTGGAATACGAACAAGGGGACACAGGTGGAAACTTAGTACCCAGATGAGCCACAGAGAGGTTAGAAAGAATTTTTTCAGTAGAATTGTCAGAGTAGTTAATAAATGGAATGGACTAGGAAGTGATGTGGTGGAGACTGACTCCATACACAGTTTCAAATGTAGATATGATGAAGCTTGAGGAGCTCAGGAATCTGTGCAAAAGTAGATTGACGGTTGAGAGGCGGGACCAAAGAGCCAAAACTCAAC